CACCCCCACCCCTTCCCCCCCCCCCCCCCATCCCCTCTCCCACAATCACCTCCCTCGTCATCTTCTTTTCGCCTTAGTTACAGACGAGCGCACGAGCTTCAGAAAAACATGCTCGATTAACGGAGAGAGATTTAAGAGCCCACATGGGCCCCCATTTTTTTATATTTTTCGTCCCCAAGCTCTTTGCGTTTCTTCGTTCGAGAAAAAAAAGTATAAAAGGCACTTACTTCGGTCTCAACGACCAGATGGCCAAAGTCTTTCTCAGTCTTCGGCGCCCAATGTTTCTTCTCTCAACTAGCGGCCCCTTCGGATCGCGACGAACGAACGACGAGAAAAAAAGCTCTTTCGGAGACGACGTCATGAGATAAACAAGCCCCCTCCCTCCCCCTATCACATACTATCTCTCTCTCTCTCTCTCTCTCTCTCTCTCTCTCTCTCTCTCTCTCTCATCCCCTTACCTTATTCACTTCCTTCTCAATAAGCTTGTACTTCTTGCTACGCGCGAGCTTCTCCGGGGGCGCGTTAGCGACCTCGAGCTTTGTGCGCTGCTGTTCGGCGACCCTCAGCTTCGTCTCGGCCTGTCGCGATTCCGCCTGATAGCCCTGATACGTCTTCATCGTTGTGTGAAGTTCGTGTAGCACCCGCAGTATCTCCTCGTGGGTCTCGTAGCCAATCTCACGGCACTATGTAAAATGAAAAACGATCAGTGATGGGTGCCCAAGTTAAAGGAGGGCAAAGAGAAAAAGAAAAGAAATAAATGGTACTAACGCGCCTGTAAATGCGCTGAACGTCTTCCATGACCTGGTTGAGTCGCGCCACGAGATGCGTACTGTAAACCTCGGAGAGGGCAGCGTGATCCCGACTGAGGGACTTGGTCTCGTTGACGAGCTGCTGCCAGCAAGCGTACGACGAGAATAGGGGCCACTGTTCCCGCCTAATTGAATGGACAACAAAATAAATAATGAGAAAAAGGATCGATCCGTGATCAGTGATCAATGGACATTAACAAACGCGCATAAAACAACATACTTTTGCTTCTGTTCCTTGTGCCGCATCTGTATGCTTTTGGCCATCTTGTCGAGGGATTTGCTGTAGTCGAGCTCGAGCTCGGCTCGCCTTCTGAAGAAGTCCTGCAGCTCGGCGACGAGCGCGACCTGCGCCTCCATCCGTACGTCCAGGCATCGTAGCTGCTCGTTTAATTGCAGCCGTATATCTGTAACAGAGCCGGACGGCATCGTTATTATTATCTTTTTGCATCTGCAGGGCGTACTGGCTGGTAACAAGAGGAACGGGGCCATCGGCAGGGGGCAGAGTCTGTCAGCGACACCGAACGTTGAACGACGATCGTAATCGACTCTATCTCCCCCCTCCACTTGACATTTAACTCGCGGCAATCGCCAGCATAGCAATTATTTTGCGCGCTAGCTGTCTTCATTACGCGCGTATGTAAGTACGCACCGATGCGCAGCCAAAAGTGTGTGAATCAAGGCCCTATTTACGCATACGTCTGTCCCGACGATTCTCGTCGTTCTTACTTCTGCGCCCCCCCCCCATCCCACTCGCCCATTCTCCTTCTAAAGAAAGAAAAAACTTGCATACAAACGAGACGGCGGGATACCGACAAGAATAATGACCTGGCCGAATTTCAAAAGAATCCCTCCCATCCCTCCTCTATCCCTCCCGTGAGGTCCCAGTGAGGATTCGCCCAGATTTTTTTCTTGAATACATGCGCCACGGCGCTTACTAGTTTATTTTCCAATGGCCGAGACAATGAAACGGGAATGCACAGCGCCTTCTCTTCGCCAATGGAATGACGCGAAGAGAGCGAGAACGGCATTAGCTTGCTTTATTACTGGCTCATACGCGCGGTGAGCTCCATGACCTCAGCACTCCGCACTACCTCCGATCCGATTGCAAAACTATTTATATAATAAAAAGAAAAAACCTGCGGAATTTTTCAATTTATAATGGTAAGAAAGAAAGGTGAAAAAAAAATTTACGGATATTTACACTTTCGAAATATCTTATAGAGACGTATGTATGTACACGCTCGACTGGCAATATTTCTAAATGCTTAACTGTTAAAATTTAACAGTACGCTATACAAGCATCACTACCATATAACAATTAAATAAATAAACTATATCTCTTAAAATTCTCAATGTGGCACTCGCGCGCGCACGCTTAGCTATAATAATCATCGAATTTCTACCTGCATTACCTTTACTCACAATCGGGAACTTTGTCGTCATCTGCCCGATTGATCTCAACACGCGGAATTACGGAAAAATTAACAATAATTTTTATTCCGACGATTAGCTTAATTATTCGACAACAAGGAAAAAACTTCATAAAATTGTAAACGTTTTGATATTTTGCTGCTCAAAATTAAACGTCCTCTCTTCTCTAAAGCGATAGCGTCACTGATTAAAGCAACGCACTGGTAATTGCTAAGCATGCCCACAAACATTATACCGATCACGCCGAGATAAATAACTTCTGGAACGATTTAATTGCCGTTGCGCAGGACTGGATACACGAAAAAACAAAAAACAAAAAACAAAAAACAATAACAAAAAACAAAAAAAAACAAAAAGTATCGATTAACTGGATCTTTAAGAGTAAGCCTGAGAGTGGAACTTAATTATCAGGTGTTGGGAAAACAGCAAGGGCAGCCCATGTTTTTGGTCGCCGTTTGAGTGTCGAAAAAAAAAGTCGAGTAAATTTTGAACATTGCCAATTTCGTAATGGGAGCTCTAGTTACATGTGATGCCGATGTCATGAGGATGCCCGGTGCTTGGGCCTTTCGCTCGACCATTTTCGACCATTAGATCACGTATCGCTCCGGAATCGAGAATAACCCAGGCGGAAACGCTTCCTCCTATCGATCGGGGAGGCGACACGACTCGCGATCACCGTGACGTTCACATTTATTTCCTTTCTGCGCATCGTCATGAGGTGGCATGGCCGTTTCCCATATCGCTAGCTCGTTTATTTCTTTCTCTTGAAAATATCGAAAATGAGTACGCGGTATCGGTGATTTAAAGGCGGACATCCCTATCCCTCCCCACCACCGTCGTCACTTATCGCTCGACCAAAGTTTTACAAACTGGGCCCCTTTGAAACAATCCTTCTCGATTTTCTTGGATTTTATCGCAGCAATCGTAAACCAAGAGCGCCTTGGACCGACTCCAAGACTAAAACCGTACACACCCGTGCGCGAGTTCCTTTTCAAGCAGATATGCGCGCGCTTTCCTTGGCTTTCATTTCCTCGCCTCTTCTTTTCTACGGTTAAGACCCGGTTATCGCGTTAGGACGTGCGGGCATTGATCGCTTTTGGATAAAAATCAGAAGAGGCGCGTTGTGCATTAGTTACAGGAAAGGTCGGCTTCGAAGGGGGGGAAAAGAAACTAAAAATAAAGCCGTTTCTTGGGAAACGATGCGTCCACAATCTCTCTCTCTCTCTCTCTCTCTCTCTCTCTCTCTCTCTCTCTCTCCCTCGCCCTTCTTTTATTTCTCTTTATCTTTCATGCGTGCCGAATGTGTATCGACCGACACGATCTGCTTTAGCCGAGAGCGCCTATATCCACGGCCTCCGAGCTTCAAAACTCGTCCTAGAGACGGACTGGAAGCTGCACTTAAAGGGACAAGGGGCGACGGAAGAGGAGGAGTAGGAGAAGAAGGGGGAGATGGAGAAGGAGGTGAAGGAAAAGGAGGAGGGGGAGGTGGAAAAGGTTGAGGAAGAAGAGCAGATAGTGGTGGTGGTGGTTTGCTTTACCCTGACCAAAGAAACGGGGTGAAGGTGTGCGCGCGCGAAGACCCATAAACGCAGGCTAATATTTTGCTGGATGCGTCAGCTGCCGACACTATTTCGTGTCTCTCTTACCGGAGCAAGGACGAGCACAAGCAAATGAAACAAAATAATATAAAACTAAATGGTATAGGATTAAAGATAAATTAAATAAATAAAAATGGTAGAGGGAAGGGGCGAGCTGCTGTACTGCTTTAATTGCATGAATTATTCATAGGTTTGGTATGAAAATTGCATTGTTACGAGGTGGCAGGTAAGCAGGCATGGAAAAATGCAAAGATTTGCCTCACTGTCCCCCCATTCTATTTGTACAGACAGACGGAGACGCGCAGCCACTCGACGCTTTCCCCTTCGACCTCTTCCCTCTTCGGTAAAACGACTTTTGCCCACCACTTTATACGGCCTCGTTATTTTATTACACGCGTAATTCCACTCGGTCGTCGCGAAATCATAGCTGCGGCGGCCCTTGCGCCAGTCCTCAGCCCCTCCCCCGCCCCTGCCCACCCCATCGACGTCGGTCATGTCGCCCCATCGAGCCCTTGCACGGCCTCATGCCACTGGGCACAGCTGGAAGCGTCTAATGAAACTTTCCACGACACTCACCGCGATGTTTACGCTTCATTCGAAAGCGCTTAAGCCTCCCCCGCCATTCTTCTGTGCGACGGTGAATCCGCGATTTGTCATAGCCGACGGCGTCGGCTGCGCTTCCTTCTGCGCTTTCCTTTAATTATTTCGTGAGCGTAATTCGAAACTCGACGCCCAACCGTTATGAATGAACAATAGGTAAACAATGGACGCATTAACGTAACGAGTACTTGTTTTGTTGGATTAATCGCTCAAGAGTCGAGCATTTGACTCGATAGCTCGCGTTTTATTTTGAAATTGAGAATCGACAAAACAACCGATGAACGCGATATAATGGACGTTCCCAATTTTACTATGTAAACTGTTGCTCTTACATTCGTAACACGTACTTTCGACAATCTCGTGAAACACGTTTTTACGGAATTCAGTTGAATAGCAAAACTATTTGTTTGCTAGATATTTATAATTACGAGCGTATAATATACATGTCGAAGCTGTCGTATAAGTGAGTATCTTATTTATACATTATTTGACCGTAAATAACACGTATGTTTATTAGATATTCCAATCCTTCATTATCTCGTGGAATATAATACATGACATATTCTCAAAGCAATAAAAGATTTCTAAAATATTTAATAACCGTTTATTTCATCAACAAACAATCGAATGCGGATGCAAATAACACGTCGAATTCGCAATTACAATAAAAATATCTTAACAACAGGGCGTGAAAATTGAAATTATAATTTCAATTATTAATTTATAATACTTGTTCTATAATGATTAAATATAACTAACGTCTGGCACATCGAGGACAAATTATACGTATGGCTTGCACATACACTATTGTGTTCAGTCGTAATCGTTGCCTTAGTTTGTCGTCTTGATCACTCTATCGCTATCCATTATAAATAATATCTCTTTTTCTTTCATCGCACACTTATCGTCTTATTCAAATATTATTCAAAAGTAGTGAAAGACGACAAGATAATGGAATTTTTTATTTTCATCATTCTTGAAAAGCAGCCAAACCACCATTGCACTTACTTACGAAGTAGGTAAATATTAGTCAAGCTTGTTTTGCGACATAATCTAAATCCTTATTAATTAATTTTAGACATCAACATTATGATTTTCAGATAAGTATGATATTTCTTTATGCGCATGTGCAAAGAATCGGGCAAAAACAAAAGCCAAGAATGAGCAATTGAGAAAAAAGACTCCTCGCCTACTACTGCTTCGTGCACTGGTAAAACTGTTTTCAATTACTAGAGGATTTTAACGAGTTAATGTACTTTTTCGGTCAAATTTTCTATTAAAATACGCTACGATTTTTAAATAACAATACGCACTAGAGAATTCTTATAAAAATTCTATGCATAAAGCATGATGCATTGTATATTTCAGATCGCGTAATAATATTTCACATATGTGATATATATTTATGAACATAATTATGATTTCGAGCTGTTAAAAATGTTCGTAAAAAAATAACAAGACGACGATAATACGTATAATAATAGAGACATTATCTTCGTAGCGAGACTCGTTTTAATGAAATTGAGGTTAGCTATTGAGTATCGAAAATGCAAATAATGCGACAAAACAATAATCCTCGACTATCGTGTTTTTCGGAATACGTAATTAAAGATGAATAGAAGATTTGTTTCGTAATGTCCATATTATTATTCAAGATATTTCAATGAGGTAGTTCGTACGTTTCGAAGGTAGATCACTCGCTACTATCTACAACTCCATTGGCGTTCTAAATTTCAAAGCAAGTTAGACGTAACTACAATGTCACGCTTAATTTG